AAAGGGCCAACGTCCTGCGGAGTTTAGCTCCAATCAGCTCCAACACACTTGTTTGGAAGTCTCTAGTGAGTCTGGAGACTTTGATTAGCTTGATTCAGGTGTGTTTAATGAGGGTTAGAGCTAAACTCTACAGGACAGTGATCCTCCAGGAACACAACTGGAGACCCACGACATAAAATTGGTCTGCCTATAGTGTTTACCTTCATGTAGTCTACTCTTCAGCACAATGGTAACCGCAAAAACTTCAACAACAGAAATTTTTAAATGTCAAACATAGCAACATTAAACACCAGCAGCTCTGTCACTGCAGAAAGAAAGAGAGAGAGAGAGCGCGAGAGAGAGAAAGAAAGAATTTTATCAAGTTACTAAAACTTAATTTAAGATAAGAAATCCAATTATAGCACTAATCATCACTTACTTGCCCTCATGTCATTTAAAAACTATGACTTCTGCAGAACACAAAAGATATTTTGAATAATTGGAAATTTATTTCATTTATGTTCCGCAGAAGAAAGTCATACAGTTTTGGAATCACATGAGTAAATAATAACAGAATGTTTGTTTTTGGGTGAACTATTCCATAGACCCAAATGGAGGTTTACAGAGTAACTGGGTTATTTTAGTGTTGTTCCTCCATTCTTCACCATGATATCACTAAATTATTAAAAGTAGTGCCGAGCAGAGAGGAGGTTGGTTACGATGCATGAAACAGTCCATGGGAAAACTCTCATCAATAAAACAAACTGGGATACAAACACATGTGACATCTCTGCCAATGTTACACAAGCTCATCCCAACATACTAAACTCTCCAAAAGCTTCAACTTCCATCAGAAAGAAGTCTTGAACTTGATCATGAGTATGTGGCATCAGAGCCTTCACAACATACTAATTTCCTTTTCAAGAGCTTATTGTACAAGTTGCATCAGCCTCCTTCATGTCTCAAAAAGCAGAATTAACCTTTATAGCCTGCCTGGGCTCAGCTTTCACAGGAAGTGCTGAAGAGGCAGAGACCAGTCTGCAGTACAGAAGTACATATATCAAGTCAAGTTCTAGTGATGACCTTAAGAGGTGAATTTTGTATGTATGCTGCCACTATTTTCTTGCTCCCAAAATGAGTTTGAACTCGCAGTGATCGATCTGAAATGGCTGTTAAACAGCAATGGCAGTGCAACATTTTCTGATCTGTAAGTATTAGTGTACAATGAATAACAGACACAGGATGGCCAGATGGGGAATATGCAGCAGATCTGTGGTATAATGTACATGTCAGCAGAACTGAACCACTGATTCAGATGCTCTAGTCTAAAAGCAGCAGAGGTCTTCGAAATGAACACCTGAGCTTTGACACACTGCAAGATATAGTGATGACAATTGTATTATTGCTAACAGTGCTCTGCGGAGTATGACCTTCACACCACATTCTGCTAAACGACTGAACTGCTCACTTACTTCCCGCTCAGTTAATGATGGGGAACTAAGGCCACCGCACTTATCATAGATTTAAAACTTGCTTTAATAAAGCACCAAAATTCAGAGAATTAGACCATCATTTTTTTCAGGCACAAGAATTAAAGGCAGGGTAAGCGATTTCTGGTAGCCAATGTTGATATTTGAAATCAACAAAACAAACACGCCCCTACCCCAAAAGGGTCTTGCCCCCATTTTGATAGCACTAGCGCTCCTAAAAAGAAAAGTAAGCGTATAGCCCGATTATACATTTAAAAATAAGAAATATAATAGAATTAGAAATGTATTGACTATATTAATATATATTTTTTAAATACTGTATAATAATAGGAGTATATATTGCATATAAAAATAAAATAAAAAATATATTGTCACTTTTACATGCCTGTAAAAAGACACACTTGTGAAATTCCTTGATATTTCTAGGTTTTTCAGGACCATGGAAACTTTAAACACTTATTTAAATTTTTATAAATCTACCCATGAAAAACAATATATTTTAACTGTCATTTAAAGCAGACGCTAATTACTGTATTTGCTGCAGCTCAAAACTTCTCACATCACATTCCAAGACCTCTCTTCCCTCAGCTTCGACCTCACCATTACAGAAACAACAGCACAGGAATGCCAGTAATGCTGGGACACACACTGGGCCAGCTAACACCCAGACATTAGACACCTGTTCTACCACTGCAGTTTAGATGACCTCCTCCACAAACACACACAGACAGAGAAAGAGAGAGACCGCAGTTACCAGACTAATGAAACTTGCTAGTTGCTACTACCAAGACTTCTGCCAGCAACACTTACTGCATCAATATGCAGTCCTTCCTCTGCTTCTCATCTTTTATTTTGCACAGAGTAGGTTGCCTGACAACCTCACTGAATTAGTTAGTGCTGTTGTTGATGCTGCTCTGCCTCTAAAAGCTGAGGAGCCACATGGTTACATCAAACCGTGTATGAGGGTGTATCATGTTCAAGCCTTATTTTGATAGGAAATGTCTTCCTCATTCCCTCAATACTCCTTGCCGTTTCTTTGTAGTTGTGAAATTTACTAGGAATTTCTGAGTGAAAATAGTTTCAAGCTCTTTGGCAAACACAATGTTACTGATAGCATTAGCAAAACATCTAAAACAGTTTGAGGCATTTACACTTGGTCACTTCGAGCACCTTGAACAATCAGATTCCTATCGGAATGGATATGTACGTTGCATTTATAAATTGACCATTAAGTACATCATGCAAAAAGAATACAAATTCAATCTTCTGTTCCTGTGTCTATCATAAACCAGACAAGGCAGCTACATGTTCTGTTGAACAGTTTCTTCTACTTGAATGTGGATTGCAGGTTTCTTAACTTTTCGTATGATAACAATTATGTTTGAGAGAACTAAAGTTTATCTAACCTAAACAGCCAGATGCACTTACACTTGGCTGAGCCGCATCTTGTATGAATCTCAAACCACCACCTGACGTTTTCTATGCTCAAATGCATCTTGGAGGGCATTTAAACATGGTCATGATAGCTATACAATCAGGAAAAATGCATTATGCCTAGTGTAAATATTTTCTGAGTCTAATGTTTGTATTAAAAGCCATGTGATCACAGTTTGATGATCACACAGTAAGACCAGTTCATGTGTTTACAAGACAAGCTTTGTTTTAGACCCATAAACAGGTGATGAACTGAAATGATCCATTCACATCACCTCAGTTTAACCCACCAGAAATTTCTTCTCCATTTCAAGTGGGTGTGTTCAGTATTTCATATTTCACTAATCCCGCAGGACCTCCAAAGAATACATTCCCTCCTGTCAGTACACATTAGACATGGAATCCAAAGGGATAGGGAATTCTCTGCATTCTGAACTCAGAAAAGAGATATGCTAACTGATCTCGAAGGACTTTAGTTAAAATCACATAACGCATCGTGTTCCCTCTCGTTTAATTACTTGCACTTTAAAAGGTTACAGCCGTCAAAAGAGGGAATGATCAGGACATGGAATGTAACATTAGCCTGTCAACTGACACTGCAAGACGATGAGTGAGTGAGTGTGTGTAAAGAGGTCAAGAAGTGGGGAGTCAGAGAGAGTGCAGACAGGGCACTTCTGAGCAGCGATATCTGACACAGCAGATCGCAATTCTCAAAACAAACCACTGTATCCAGCGTTTGCCACAGGGCAGCAACACTGCGAAAACTCTCAGCATCTATTTGAACAAGTGTCAGAGTGTGTTCATTGTCATTTCATTACTTGAATACTTTGTGACTTTCACATTTGCTCTGGGTCAGAGAATAAACCATCACACTGCTTTTACATTTCAATGGGCTGTTTGCTAAGGAAGATCCCAGAGGGCTGAACCTACGGAAGCCTCAAGGCCAAGTTATGAAAACATGCAATGAAATGCAGAATAAAGTTTATTCTGGTTTGCACCATTTCTGTTTTGCCAAGAGGCCTTATCAACTAATGTTGAGAAACGTTACAGACTACAGCATGTCCAATACTAACCATATGCACATGATCAGGAATTGCAAAACATACAATCTAGGTCAGTGGTTCCCAACCCTGGTCCTGGAGGCACCCAAACACTGCACGTTTTGCATGTCTCCTTAATCAAACACACCTGATTCAGATCATCAGCTCATTAGTAGAGACTCCTTGGCGTGTCAAAGAAAGGAGACATGCAAAATGTGCAGTGTTGGGGTGCCTCCAGGACCAGGGTTGGGAACCACTGATCTAGACAATAACATTTATTCTTATTTGAGTATAAAAATAAATTTTTATTACACAGGAATATTGTAATATATGATATTCAAGATAAATCTAAAAATAAAAAAAGAAAGAAATGTATATAAAAAAATAAAAACATGTAATTTAACTAGCATTATTGAATTGTGTTATTTTATTGCAAAACAACAATAAAGCAATAATAATATATAAATAAAAACAGATACATGCGCGCACACACATACATATATACACGTTTACATTTTATACATGGCACATGGCTTCACTACTGTCAACCCAAAAGCATCAGCACTAGGTGAAATTATATAAACGATCTGATACACATTCACTTTATTATACTTAATTGAGCATGTCAAGCCAACCCTAACAGTTGAGCACTTACGATGACTGATGAGTTTGCCCTGTTGCTCAAGACGAACCCACCCGTTGATGTCAGTGTCTAGCTCCGCGTCAACACTCTCTGCTGAAATAAAGCCGATCTCTTCCATGCCTCAAGGATAGTAGGCTCGTTTCATTGTTTTGTTTGTCCAGTTTAGCTCAACGATCGGGTGCACTTGACCCGGAGAGCTCGCGCTGTCAAGTGCACCCGAGCGTTGGCTCGAGCAAAACAGGACACACAAAAAACAATGAAAGAAGTCAATACTCGAGTTTTCAAAAGAACTTCTTTTGACACTCCCGTCAAAGACCAAACATTTAAGATTTTTTTTTGTCACGTTTATGTACAAACAACGGGGTAAATGTTTTGCTTGTGGTCCCTGAAGATAAATAAGTTGTTTTTACTCACTCGGGCTGTGTGTATTTTGTTCGGGAAGTCCAGTAAGACGCCTTGAGCTTCTTGGGCAGTCACTCGGAGGAAAAAAGTTGCCTCTACTTTGCTTTCAAAAGGCACAAATGAAGAATTTTGAGTACAATATCCCAGGCTTTGAGTAGGTCTTCACGTTCAAACTGTTTTTCATTCCAGGCAAAACGCCTCGTCGTACAATCTGCGTTCAATGAGGCAGGCGAGCGGAAGTAATCTGTTTCTTGATTGGACAGTTAACTAAAGAAGGGCGGGATCAACGTGTAATCCTAAAATATGATTGGCGGTCACATAATCAATCATATGCCACACCTGCCCTTATTCTACGAAATTATTCTTTTTTATAAGAGGTCTACAGGGAGACCGTGCATACGTAAATAAATCATAATGACACTTTTCATTGTTGTTGTGAATAAAATGTTCTTTTCTAAGGGATCGTTTCCAGGAATTAACGAATCTTTACTTTCTAAGAGTTCAGACGACAGGACACCTGTCTTTCCTGTTCAAGAGCACATGGCCGCCAGGTTTATTCTATTTGAATATCTTGCCTATATCTACCTCTAGTAACTTGACTTGATTCGCCTCGACACGTTAGTCCTTGCTGTCTCACTCATTGTATTTCTTCTGTGAGGAAATTTATATCGCAGACTGGTTTGACAAGTTTGAAATCGAACAATGCCTCATGGCTGCAAATGTTCAGTTGATCTGTTCAGAACAGAGAACTATTGAAATTTTATAGGCAATGGTAAGTAAGAAAGAAAGAAGCAATTGTTTGCCACTTGAAAACAAGAGCCAGAGCTGCTCTTCATTCTGACATGCGTACAGGGCCCAACACTCAAACATAGGCTAATACACAATGTCGATTTGAGTATGACTTGATACTCAATACTCAATGATTTGAGTAATTAGGAAACAACGTAACACCATTACATTAAGAACTATTACTACAGCACCCCCTCGTGGTCGACATATAAGATTGAAAACACTTGCACTAACAACTGCAAGATATTTTTTGACAGTAAAGTTTGGTGAGTGGTCATTTATACTTGTCCTTCATAATATAATTCAGGTTCAACCATGGAATTATATTGAAATCAAATTAAAACATATAATAATATAACAGCACATCCACTTGCAATTTACAATACCAATCATCACTGGCCTTGGTTACCTAAGCACAAGAAGCAAAGGCTTAGTTAAAATGGTTTTAATGGTGTAAACAGTGCAGTTTAGCATGATTGATTCTTCAAGGGTGTTGGTATATGTGCTGAGAATCACTCATAGGAATGTCTTATTTAGACAAACAAAAGTATTAGTGTAAAAAAACATGATAACAAAAATCATTTACCCAACCATTAGGCCATCCAAACTGTAAATTATGTTTCTTCATCAAAAGAGATTTTGTTAAATGTAGCATTGCACCACTCGTTTACCAATGGATCCACTGAAATGAAATGGGTGCCGTCAGACTGTGAGTCCAAACAGCTGATAAAAGCAACAGTAATCCACAAGTATTCCACACGACTCCAGTCCATCAATGTCTTGTGAAGTGAAAATCTGTATGTATTTAATAAACAAATCCATCATTGAGACATTTTTTACTTCAAACTGTTGCTTCCAGCTAAAATATGTGTCCTCTATTCACAATATTTCTTTCTTTGGTGAAAAAAAGTCTCATCTGAATCAAAAGAGAACTATGCACATGATCAAGCACCATTTACAAGCAAAAACAGTCCAAGACATTTCTTAACAAATATGTCAGTGGATTTTAATGTGAGAGGAAAACAAGGGATATTATTATGTTATTATATTAATAATGGATTATGGGCATTTATTTAGGACAGAAGTGATGGTTTAAACTTAAAACTTTAATGACGGATTTGTTTCTTGAAAAAACATGCAGCTTTTCATTTCACAAGATGTTATCTGATGGACTGCAGTGGTGTGGATTACTTGTGGATTATTATGATGTTTTTATCAACTGTTTGAACTCTCATTCTGACGGCACCCACTCACTGCAGTGTATCACTGGTGAACAAGTGATGTAATGCTAAATTTCTCAAAATCTGTTCGGATGAAGAAACAAACTCATCTACATCTTGGATGGCCCGAGGGCAAGTACATTTTCAGCAATTTTTTTTTTTTTTTACGCTGTTATTTTTGTTGGTCCAAATAAAACATAAATGAGTGATTCTCAGCACATATAGCAAAACCCTCTGAAGAATAAATCATACTAAACTGCTCCAAACTGCAGGGGTTTATTTTCATCCTCGCATCTGATTGAGTCTCATAAAATGTTGAATATTAAATCAAAGTTCAGTTTGCATGACTTTTCCATGACTCTTCTAATCTGAAGCCTTTGTAGGCTATATAGTTCTTTCAGCAGATCTTTCAGCAAATTGTCATTTGTGGGTGAACTATTCAATGGGTGAACAATTCTATTCTAAAATATCACCAATAAACCTTTGATTAAAGATCAAAGGTTTATTAGTGATATTTTAGAATAGCCTATTAGTAATAGCGTGACTTGCTGCACTATTGCACAGGTAAATGAGAGAACTGATTCTGGAAAATGTAAAAAGGCACCAACTGTGCTTTATCCATAGGATAAAGGGCACAGACAATCAGTGTGCTGATGCACCTGCTTCCATTGTTAGAATAAACAGTGTGCTTTCAACAAGCAAACTAATGCTGATATTGAAAGCTGAGAGGTAAAAGGATCTTTCAGAGTGTTAACAGAGTCCAAAACCTTGTGGATATTTTTTTGTATAATTTATAGCTTTATTTAATATATTTCCAATAATTGTCATAATGAAATCATAATGTTTCTAAAAATCTTATCATCTAATCATAAGTAGAGTGCATTATATCTTATGTCAAATTAAAACATATATGGGATTTTTCTTCACAGTCCTCTCTACAATGAGTGGAACGTGAAATAAATAACTGAAATACAGTTATTAAATTAAATTCATTAGCAAAGTATCTAATGTGTCCATTTAAATTCACCTCTGGTCAATCACTTAATTATACAATAACTTGATAAAGATAACTCAGGACTCCCAAATAAAATCAGCACATATCTGCTTGGCCAACATGAAGACCAAGATGCTGCTTGAGAAACTTTATCCAAATCCTTTCTATGAACACAATATCATCTATTGCAAAAAAACAACAACAAAAAAACACTTCGGTTTTGTCATATGGGGAGAACTACGAAAGACCAACATTGTGTCATAACCATGTACCCATGTAACCATGACACAAAGCCTGAAAGCTTATTCTGGAAGACCTCAAAGTAAAGATCTTTGGCCTTTAAAGCACAGAACAATAGGACAATGATCCAAAGCACAAGCAAAGGCTTTGGTTTAATGTCTTAGGGGGCTTAAAATAATTAACATTGATGAAAAATGATTGATTTGACTGTACTTACATAATCATATGAGAACAAAACAATTGAACTGAGCTGGATAATTATTGATTTGACTGTACTGACATTATCGTATGAGAACAAAACAATTGAACTGAGCTGGATAATTATTGATTTGACTGTACTGACATTATCGTATGAGAACAAAACAATTGAACTGAGCTGGATAATTATTGATTTGACTGTACTGACATTATCGTATGAGAACAAAACAATTGAACTTTATTGATTTGACTGTACTGACATTATCGTATGAGAACAAAACAATTGAACTGAGCTGGATAATTATTGATTTGACTGTACTGACATTATCGTATGAGAACAAAACAATTGAACTGAGCTGGATAATTATTGATTTGACTGTACTGACATTATCGTATGAGAACAAAACAATTGAACTGAGCTGGATAATTATTGATTTGACTGTACTGACATTATCGTATGAGAACAAAACAATTGAACTGAGCTGCCTATAAGTCATTTCATAATTGACCAGCTTTGCAACACTGACACATTGAACTGAACTGAATCATCATCGACCTAAAGTGAGCTGAATAATTACGTTATTGTCTTCTGTTGGGCTGCTTTATAGCTGAATTGAGTTTGTTTTGATATTGATATAGATATCAACACTTTCATTGAACTGAACTGAATCAGCATTGAACTGACTTGAGATGAATAATGATACCATTGTCCTCTCTTGAGCTGCTTTATAGCTGAATTGAATGTTTCAACTAAATTTAAATTGAATCAACACTGACATACATTGAGCTGATTAATGCCAATTATATTCTGTAGAACTGCTTTCAAGCTGAAATTGAAGGAATTTCATATTTGATCAATTTTTGCTTGTATTTTCACTTTTAGTTTCCTGTTTACCTCCGTGAAGCTGCTTTGAATATATATTGAATATAAAGCGCTATACAAATAAATGTGACTTGACAGGGTTTGAAATCTGGAATAACTCAGATTTTAATACAACTGAAAATATGTCTGACCTGCAAACAAATTGCTGTCCACCCACACTCTCCATCACATTTGGCAGAGCTGGCACAGAATTTGCATGGAAAACCAAACAAAAATCCAGTCTAAATGAAAGAAATGAAAAAAAAACCTCACAGCTGTAATTGCTGCTGGCTGTGCTGATGTGTTTAAAACTAATTCCTTTTCATGCTAACTTCATTTTATGTTAGATGAACAAAACATGGGATTTGTGCCATGAATGCTTTTTTTTAACAAAACATATTTCAGTAGGCCAATGTATCAACCAAAGAGAAGGCTCTGTTCTTCTGAAGGTTCCACTTGTTTCAGTGAGTCATACTGCATCAGGACCTTTCTGCACTCATCTCAGTGAGGCACATGCACTGGCTCAACATGTCCAGTAGATGTCAGTATTGGGTTTAAATTCCAGCGACTGAAACGCAGTATTTCTCAACAGCTGGAGTAAACCGCGAAATGAGAAACGTAAATCAGACTTTTCCGTGAGTACGTCAAGCACAATGTATTTTTACTCGAAAAAGAAAAAACTCAAAGATTCAAAGCGATCTCTACTTCATGCACTACTTCAGATCAAGTGGCTGAAATGACCCGACAGATCGCAACATCTCAAATCGCGATTTCGATTAATCGCACAGCCCTAAAGCACCCTCTAATCCAACCTTATGAATGATGCCATTTCAGACAGGAAAATATAAGGCTTGGTCTGTGAGCACAGTGTGCTTTTATCTCTCTTCATGTTCAGGTTCTATACATTTTATTCTTATCAG